CAAAAGAGGCAGAGCTAAAGCTAAAAAGAGAGACAGCAAGCTAGGGAGTCAACAATGGACTAAGAAGAGCCTGGAGGGAACTTCCCAGTTTCTCTGGGAACACAGGGAGCCCCAGGCTGGGGACTGCCAACCAACCCATCCCTGCAGAACTGGCCAAAGACTGGGAGGTTGTACAGGATGGCCCCAAAACGCCCAGGGGGTGTGTGTGATGTCTGTTTTCTGATGCCTGATGGTGCCTGGAGGGCAGATCTCCCAAGAGCTAAGACCCCAGACCCTCAGCTCTTTTTGGCTCTGGCAACCCAGGCCAGCTCCTCACCATGCCCTCCCTTCCACAACCATAACCCAAACCTTCTTCTAAAGCACAGCTGCAGGACTAGCCCTGTTCTACCACAAAGCAATGTACTGAATTCAATATATGTGACAAATTGGACAGACTCAACATGCTTTTGGCAACACTGATATCAGGAAGGATGGGAAAGCCAACTTCTGGCTACCTTCTCTTCCCCAAAGCCGAGTACTCCCTTCCCTCCAGGGATGCATTCATAGTGAGTCTCTAATAAAAGTACACATCTACATGTATTAGCTTGATGATTAATAATAATAATGTCCAAGTGCGTAAAAAACCAGACCAAACATCTTAAGAAAACTCCAAAGGTTTACTGCATTTGCAAATAGACTAGATATATCTCAAGATGTAGTTCTACAAATCACCTACTGAAAATAACTTCAGCCTGCTGCACGTGTCAGATGCTTTTTCCCTGTGGCTCTCCAGTTTTGCAATCCGAGATCCAAACTGTACGGCCCTTTTTGGCAGAACAGTGGAGGCTGTGAGGCCCAACTCCTTGGCTGCAAGGCGCAGGAGCAGCTTCTCACCGATTCCTCGAGGGAGAGTCAAGTCAGCTTTTTCTGAGACAGGCAGAGAATTGAGGAATGAAACAACATCTTCATCAAGAAAAGGAAACCTGAAAGAAAGATACACGTGGGGAAAGACCCTTTAAAAATTTCATACGAATGGTTTTGGTTTTCCCTTTTACCACATGCAAAGATTTCAGAGTCTGTATCAATTCCTAACTATAGATGTACCCTAAATCTTAGTATAACAGTACTGAGACAGTTCTCCAAAGCAGTTACTCTGTCCTGGAGAAAGAAACCCCATAATATATCATATTTACACTCAGAAGCCTGGAAGTTTTCAGAAGTCAACCAAAGAGAACAGTAAAAACAAGGATCAGAAATGGTGTGTTTATACAGAAGAAAAATCACGAAGAACAACAGAAACTACAATGGAAGGGCAAGACAAATCTTTAAGTGACACTTCTCAAGATAACTCCTAAATATTTAAAAATACAGTGTGAAGCTACACTGTAACTTCGAAACAAAAATATTTACACAACAAATTCTGACACCATTCTGAATTCCAGGCATTCATACCTAATCCCATGCATGATTAACAGCATTGCCTGTCCACCACTGCAACTGCTCTTGTGCTACACTGAAAATGTGCAACTAAGAACAGATTTGGAAAAACACTGGCACTAAGATCACAGGAAAAAACCTTTCATGCACCCGAGTGGCCTCTGCTACTGGACAACAACTAAGGAATTTTTTGCAAGTTCGTGGTAGCATGGAGGAAGTAAACACAAATAAAAGGATTTGTTAACACCAGGAAATGCAGTGGATATTGTCATGGCGTTACTGCATGGACAAGAATACCCAGCTTTTACATCATGTTGGCATTCTCCAAAGTCAATCCCCAAACGACCACACAAGAACACCTCAAAGTTGTGCACAAGACCATTCCACTTAAAATGATAAAACGTACTTGATTTTTCCTATTTCATCTTTTGCTGCTTCTTAAAACTTCTGGATGGAAGCAGTCAAGTTACTAAATTTCCTTAAGTAACTCTTCCACAGTACTACAGGCTACCTTTTTAAAAACAAAACCAAAAAACTCCACAACACAATACAGGTTAGCAAAATTGCAACACAACTAGAGAATAAAACACACAGAAGTTTCAATTAAGCTTTTTGTTGGAGTGTTAGAAACTGCATCTAACTTGCAAAACCAGTTTTGCTTCATGTTAAAACAATAATACCTGGCTTCTTTTCCGTGATCACCGATAATCCTGTCATCTCTACCCAGATTTCTGGAAGAAATGCGACCTAACTCCATTTCAAGTTCTTTATTCAGACCCTTTAAGCCGTATTTCTTGAAGCAAACACGATGTCGAGAATACCCAGCAAGCTGCTCATCTGCTCCAATTCCTGTAAGCACAACCTAAGGAAACAGAATACAACAAAGCTTAGTAGCTGGGCAAGTTAATATGTAACAATCTTAAATGTTTAACTGCATGTTAAGGATATTCATTTTAATACACATCCTCTAAAGGTATTACTTATCACAATGGGATCTGCCTTACACATTTACAAAGTCTGAAACAGTTTCCAATAAAAATCATTGGAAACTTGCAATAGGCTCACAATCAGACCTAAAAGTACACACAAACATTTCTACTGATGCAAGGAAAAAACATCAAAATAACGTCCTATGCACCACAAATACACCAGTATCTTTAAAGAATGTCTGTTAGTTTCTATTACAATAAACAGCATTTGTTAAACACCAGCCTTTATAAAAAAAATTTGTTTCCAAAGATTATGTCGTATATTCTAAATAGTTATCTGAATGTACACCCAGATTAATTTACCAGACACTGGGTTAGTACATTGCATTACACTAAATAAAAATGGCTCATAATGTTCTGTTTCCTTAGTAAGTACAAAAACAACTACTACATCTGGCCCATTGCTGTGCCTTCAACAGCAATTCACTATAAAAGTGGAAGTCTTTTAACAAACAGTCAAGTGTGTTTTACTAATCTGATACCAGTTAGTGGTCAACTAATTTTTTACCAACACAGCAGTACATAACTGATGGGAAAATGACACTTTTGCTTTATGTTTTATTAACTCATGACCCATTTCAACATATTCTGGACCTAGGATGAATTTGTATGTTTTGCAAATCTCAGATGCACATCCTTAAGTAGATCTGCCAACTATATCAACTGTGTTCTACAGTAGTAGTTTTTAAGCAAACTATTGCATTTGTGGGGGTTTCTGTTGTTGGTGGATTTCTTATGGTTTTAGGATCTAGCAATTATTAGAAAAGTAACAGGAGCCTCAAAAAGCAGAGGTGGCGGTTGGCTTGTAAATTCCTGAAATTAAACAGTTCATTCTTCCCTACGAAAACCATCAGAAATGGGGAAGTGAGAAATCAGAATCAAATTCCCAAGAAAATCACCTAGTTGCCAAAAATATTTTACTTCATAGTACATACATGAAGATAAGTAAAGAGCTAGTTTTTGTATTTCTGCCATTCAGACTCTAATGACAAAAGATGCCAAAATCTTTTCTGCCTACACTATTTGCTATTTTATCACATCAAAGGCATGCCTAAAAAAGAAGATATTTTGACAAGTGGTGGGATGCTGGCACAAAACAATATTACTTAATTCACTAACATTTATGTCTAAATTTGTTAACACAGTTTGGACTGAATAGCTGCTACCCACTATTGGAACTGAAACACTGAAAATTATAGATGATGGTTATTTTTTTTTTCCTAGTCATGTTGTTGCTTATCCAAGTTCACTGGAAAGCCATACACATTACATGACAAAAGAACTGAATGCAGTTTTTAACTCTAGAATTACAAAAAGATTATAATTACAGAACTATTCCACATTCTGTCACTGAATTTCAGAAACCTTATGAATGGCAAAGATCCCACCTGATTTCTGAATCAACAGAACTGTTTTTACATTCATAAGTCATAACTGATGTTTTACAAACATAAGGCAGAAAATAAACAAACAAAAAAATCAGTACCTTTGCAGGACTTTTATATGGTTTCAGTTCTCCTTGGCTACTAATAAAACCCTCCCCTCTGGAAGCAAACCAAACTGCACAGCCAATGCTGTCATCCAAGACTGTGTCCAGCGGATAGATTAAGTGATTAATGCGCTGTTTTCTTATCTTTTTCAATTCCTCTAGTGTAACATTAATTTCCACAAAGTTCCAGGTTCTTGAAGGGTTAATGGTTTCTAATTCCTTCAATCCTGCCCTACCAGTGATTCTGTCAGGAACATCAAAGCAAGATAAATGAGCACCACTTTTAGCATGAAGATCTTGGCAGGTTTCTTGAGGACAAAGCAAATCAAGCTGAACTTCATGGTTGGTGTGTCTTTTAGTGGTACCCTTGTGCTTAGCTTGTTCTTTCATCATGAAAGCTACGTTGAGAAGATCAATTGGCTCCTCCACAGGCACATGTTTATCAGCAAGGGCTGCAATAACCATAGAATCAATGCCACCAGAAAAGAGCACTGCAACATGTGCTTTCTTATGAGACATGCTTGGAACTTCTCTGGTTTCCTGATCTTGATCTCTAAAGAGACATAAAACTCGTCTCTTGACTGCTTCATTGAAAACATCAATAAACTGACACACTAATTTTTTCTTGTGTTCCTCTGCGAGAAATCCTTGGAGGGTTTCTACAGAAACCACATGGATAATGTTGCTACTATTAGTGCCTGGACATTCACCTGAAGCTTCAGAAATAGCTGTATTTAAGGGGATAACTGGTGCTCTGAGACATAGCTTTGATTCATTCACCACAAGATGTATGTGGCTTGGCAAATCTTTCGACACTTGGTCAAGAACATTAATGAATGTTTCTTCTGTTGCTTTCTCAGTGTAGCAGTACTTCCATGGAAACAATGTTAAAGAGAAAGATTTAGTTGTTGCACAAGCTTTGAGATCAATTTTGAAAATTCCAGATGCTGGCACTTCTTGCCATTGGTTGCCTGGTTCAGAATAACCACTTACAGATGTGAGACAGAAAGCACTGTCAGCCTCAGGACTGAACTGCCAAAGCAAACTACGACGACCAAAATAATCTCTACCAAACCACAAACTGTGTCTAGATGCTTGGTAATAAATAAAAGACCAGGGACCCCGGAGTGATGAAAAGAGTGACAAAATGTCCTCTTCACTCCTGCATAGTGTGAGATGATGAAACATTACTTGAGTGTCATTGTCCAGATCTCCTACATGCACTCCATTGAAAACTTCTCCATTCCAAAGAAAAACATTGTTATTGGCATCTTCTAGAGGCTGAGGAGTCACCAGTCCCCTCAAGCGAAGTACATGGCCAGAAAACAGACATTTGTAAGAAAGATCTGACACAGTTTTTATCAACTGTTGGCTACTGTCTGGTCCTCTTCTTCTAAGACGGTGGAGTGTGTCTTCACTAAGGAAATCGGGAATAGCACGTTGGCTACACAAAGTAACAACACAACAAATACCACACATTGCGACTTGGAATTCACGTGAACTATTTCTTCATTTTAGCTTTTTCTGAATTTTCCATCTCCTGGTGTGCCTTCTTTAATTCATCTAATGTATCTGTGTAAGAGAGTATTACACAAATAATCAGTTTCATAAACAGAAAAGTTTGTATCTAAGAAATAAGTAATTCCAGACACTTGTTCAATGAAATGCTAATTAACCAAAGTGCTGTGTTTGTACACCATCTTAACTGTAGCTCACTGTAGCTTTTTCCTCTTAATTACACAAAGTTGATAATTTTTTTCTCCCAAAGAAAACCATGTTACCATAGGCCAAGTATTGCCTATATAATCAGTATGACTTACATATTTGTAGTAAGAAAAGGGGATTGTTGAATAAAATGTCAACATTATTAACCCAAATCAAAAGAAAGAAAATAACAGTAGCAATTGTTCAATCCAGAAAATAAAATTTATACTTCTAAGTTTGTAAATTTCTAATGTTTCTTCCACCATGACCTCTATTATCCACTCTCCTATCTTCATAATCCCACAGACCCATTCTTTCAACTAAAGATTTCTAACTTAACCTCCAGTTTAAACTTGTTATTTTCTTTCTCCTCATCCTGTGCAATTTTAAATTTTTTTAAGGGACACAGTGCTATTCAGCTGCCCAAAGGGCACTGATAATAATGACTCCTCTGTGGAGCAGATGTTCTCCATCCTTATCTTCAGCACTTGCTCTTTCATCACATCCATAAATCAAGTGAAAACATTTTCACATTTATCCAGTCCAGAAAAAAAAGCAGGTGTCTGAAGTTTATTTTGTATTTGACATACAGCTGTCAGTTTTTCATTTTAATATACAGCTTTTAAATATTCAATCATTTGATTTACGTTTACACTGCAAACTTACTTTTGCATTGAGACAGCGTTTCTGTTCGGTCCACAAGGAAGAATATGTTGCTGTTGGGTTGCTGCTTATAAACTTTCTGCAAAACAAAAACCACGCTTTAAGTGGTTTGTTTCTGCAAAACAAAACCAGGTATTAAGTCACAGCAACAGACTGTGAACCACACTGCAGCAGAAGCTGGTGTGGGTCTACCAAGATAAGCCTTCACTTTAATGCCAGAAGTACAAGTTCTGCCCTAAGAACACCAACATTCTAATGTTGTATCATCAAAAACATGTAACGATCAACCCATGACTATTCTGCATTTCTCTTTTCTAATTTAAACACGTGCACAGAAAAAGTAGGAATACCTCATGAAGTCTTCTGATCGACTCAAACATCTCACTGAAATAACTCAGATACTGCACAAGGGCACATAACCAAATCGTGTGCAGGACAAGTTATTGTGAGAACAGACCACAAGTGTATTAAAATCTGTATTAAAACAAATTAAAGACAGCATGCTCTGATTTTGTTTCCCCTCTTGTCTCTATGCTTATTTCTCCTCTAAAATAAAATAGTCAAAACAAATTTGTAAATACTTACCCTGTTCTTCTTCAAATTAGAAAGCTCATCTACTACGACCTTCTGCTCTTTAATCTGAAAGATGAAAGATGCACTTTCATTATTAAAAATAAACCACCGTGTTATAATCCTAGTGGTGAACATTCTTACTGATATTTTAAGAAAGCTACATGCATATATAGCTGCTGTTCTCCAAATGAACCACTGAAGACAAAGTAAATATAAAAATGAAATACTTAAAGTAACTGCTCTAGAAACAGGTTATCTTGCATACACTGGTATTTCTCCTCCCCTCACAAGCAATCATTACTGGGAAGCCAGAGTACCTCTAGCAATTTATTATCAGAGAGCACATTTTTCTCCCCCAGAAGAAAACATGTACACAACTAATACAACATCAAATAACTTTAGAAAACAAATTTAGCATAATATCAAGAATACACTTTACAATCACAGATATGATCCAGATTCAAAATGAAATTAATGAAAATCCAAATACACTAAAATTGTATTAAGAGCAATGGGAGCCTTTCTCTTGCTTTGGATTTTTGCATTAACTTCCTTAGTGGGATTTTCCACTCTATGTTGCACTGATAGATGTGGCAGGTTTTCCTATTTTCTTTTACAACAGCTCTGAATGGTAAAAAGCAATAAGAAGGACTGTCATAAAAGCCAAAAACTGGAACAAAATCTGGTCAGAGGACACAACGGTTTTTGTTAGAAGGAAACAATATGGTTTGGGGTTTTTTTCCTTCGTGTCTCCTGGAATTGGTGGCACAGCACGAAGCTACTGCAGAGGGACGACACCCAAACTGAACATGGCACACTGAAAGTACAACTTCTCCAGCCGCTACATCAACAGGCAAAACAGCACTGCCATCCTTAGCTAAGGACTAAACCATCAACCTGCAGCTCCGTTATGTCCCAGCTTTGTAGCTTCCCAGGTGTAGTGGTTTGAGCCAGGTTTTCCCCCTGAAACTAAGAAAGTGGTAACCCCCAGGGGGTGGTGACCCTTGGGGCTTGACCAATCAGTGCTCCTGCAAAATATAAACATATCTCTGGAGACCGGAAAAGAAGCAGTGTGGTACTTCTTGGGAAGAAGAGGTGGCCATGTTGTAGAGGCCACGAGGAGAAGGGGCTCCGGCCCCTTGGGAGCCTCTGCCCCCCCAGCCCCGGTTGGGGGGCTGCAGGGACTCAGAACTGAACTAAATACCTGTGTCTGAGATGCCGAAAGAGTTTTCTCCACTGCGAGTGGGTGACGAAGCAACAGAGACAGCAGCGCCCGAAGAGCAGTGGCAAAGAGCCAACTGATAAGGACCAAAAGGAGCAACACAAGCCGGTATGCAGCTAAGGCAGACACGGAGGTGTCTGAGGAGAAGGAAAAGCAGCAACAGAACAAGAGAACCGAGCCAGCAGCAGGAAGAGAGTTCCGGAGGGTAAGAACTGGACAAACCAAAACCCCCAAACTCGCTAGAGACCCCTCTGAGAAAGAGGAGGGGGTGGTGGACTGAGTGGAGTCCTAAAGTGCAGTATGCACTACAGAGAGGAGCTAGGAAGCTCCGGCCTCCTGAGAGCTCAGCCAGGATGGCCAAAGGAATGTGTGTGGAGGGGGTGACCTTAGGCTTTCCCCCCCTTTGCTGCAGCTTCAGAGAAGCTGGCAGCCATCTTTGAAGCAGAGCACAGAAGCTCTGTGAAGGGGCTTGATTTCCCCTGAAGATACCAGACTGTCACGAAGACCCCCGTGTTTCGTGATATGACCGTGGTGGAACGACCTTGTCTGGGGTTACGTAGTCCACGGAAAGACCCTTCGTTTGGCGTCGAGGGGCCGAGAGGGGCTTGGAGACCCCCCTCGTGTGTATTGGCAAGGATCCAGCTGCAACTGCTGCCTGAAAGAGAAGAAGAAAGCCTACTGCCTAGAGAGAGACCTGTTGCTCAGAGACTGGAAGGGGTCTTTTCTTCTTCTTCTCTCCTGGACTTTTATTTGGAGGGAGAAGAGATTTGGCCCACTGTAAATATTATTGTCATGGTAGAGATAGATATAGAGTTAAGATTGTTTGTAATGTATTATAGTATTTATTTATGTGTATAGTCTTTGTAATATATTCCTTCCCCCATATTGAGTCTCGTGTTTTTGTCTGGAAAACCCATCTTACATGGGGTTGAGATGTGGGTGGGGGGCTAGGAATCAGAATTAGATTTTGGGCCTTGCTAAAACCATGACACCAGGCAATCAAAAACACCACTGGCTCTATACATTATGGCCATATAGAAGTCATTTTTTCACAGAATCATAGAATGTTAAGGGGTTGGAATGGACATTAAAGACCTGCTATGGGCAGGGACACCCCCCATTAGGACAGGTTGCTCAGAGCCCTATCCAACCTGGTTTTGAACACTACCAGGGTTGTGGCAACCACAGCCTCCATGGGCAGCCTCTGCCAGTTTCTCACCACCCTCACAGTAAGGAATTTCTTCCTAACATCTAACCTAGAGTTTCCCTCTTTCCATTTGTACCCATTACTTCTTGTCCTATCACTACAGTTCCTGATGGAGAGCCCCTCTCTGGCTTCCCTTTAGGCCCCTTCAGATACTGGAAGGTTGCAATGAGCTTTTTTTTTGAGGGAAAGCAGTTCCATGGGGTTTGATAGATTCCATAGTGGGCACCAGAGAAGAGCGAGTGAATTCATAGGAGCACCAACCTCTGCGGCTGGAATCCCTTGGGACTTTTTGGGCAGATAAGAATGAAGTTGGTACTACAGAGAAGCCATATGGGGAAGCCATATGAGAAGCAGCTGAGGGCACTTGGTCTGTTCAGCCTGGAGGAGACACAGGGGAGACCCCACTACAACTTCCTTGTGAGGGGAAGAGGAGGGGCAGGCACTGAGCTCTGCTCTGTGGGGACCAGTGACAGGATCCGAGGGAATGGCCTGAAGTTGTGTCAGGGGAGGTTTAGGTTGGATATTAGAAAGAGATTCTTCCCCCTGAGGGTGGTTGGGCACTGAACAGGCTCCCCAGGGCAGTGGGCACAGCCCTAAACCTGACAGAGCTCAAGGAGTGTTTGGATGATGGTGTGACTCTTGGGGATGATCCTGTGCAGGGCCAGGAGTTGGACTCTGATGATCCTTGTGGGACCCCTCCAACTCACGAGATTCTGTGATTCTATGAGAAAACCCTCACTGCGCCTCACTTGACACTTCAATCTCAGCTCGGAGCAGTAGGACCCAACGTGACAACCTGAGAAGCTTCCAGCGAGGCGACAGGGGCTGACTACACACGGGGCGCTCCCGAGGCCCGACAGCACAGCCGCGGGCATAGGATCCCCGGCCTCCGGCAGCCCCCGCCCTCCTCTCCCTCAGGCTGCTCGCACCCGGGGCGACCGGCCCGGCCCCCGCGGGACAGGGCTCACCTGCCGACTCAGCTCCTCCCTGTGGCGCAGCGCCGCGCTCTCCCCGTCCTCCTGCCGCGGCGGGCGGCCCGACATCCCCCCGGCGGGCACGGGGCGCTCACACCCGACAGTGGCGACAGCGGCGACAGCGGCGACAGCCCCACGCGCTCCGAGCCCCGGCGGCAGCGGCCGGTCGCGACACAGCGCATGCGCGCAAGCGGGGCCGCGCAGAACACCAATCAGCGGGCGCGCCCGAGCACGCGCGGCGGCGCGCGCCTCTGGCGGGATCCCTGAGGGGCGTCGCACCCCCCCTCAACCGGGGGTCCCTCCTGTCGGGACAGAAATCTACGGGAGTCGTGTCACACCGCTGTCCGTGAGGGCATCGGGACAGGCCGAATGTGGCAAAGATGTTTGGAATGAGGCTTGGAAACTGCGTCCCTTGTGGAGTGCGAGGGAACACCCGGAAAAGGAAAGGAACGGCTCTCTTGTGGTGTGACCCCGGGCTGATCCCGCCTCTCAAACACCTTTAGGCGGTTTGCTTAAAGGTATTCCAGGGGAGATATGAATTATATTATTTACAGATATCAGCATCATATCTTTCATTATTATATGTTCATCATTATTATATGTTTCCAGAAGGAAGACGGAGAGGGACTTTTTACATGGGCGTGTAGTGACAGGACAAAGGGAATGGCTTCAAACTGACAGAGGGCAGATTTAGAGTGGATATTAGGAGGAAATCTTCCCTTTGATGGTGGTGAGACACTGGCACAGGTTGCCCAGAGAAGCTGTGGATGCCCCATCCCTGGAAGTGTCCAAGGTCAGGCTGGATGAAGTTCTGAGCAACCTGGTCTAGTGGAAGGTGTCCCTGCCCATGGCAGGGGAGTTGAAACGAGATGATCTTTAAGCTCCCTTCCAACCCAAACCAGACACATGATTTTATTATTGTATAAGGTGGATGTTTCAGGCCATTCACCTAGGATGGTCTTAACATTTCTCTGTCTCTTCCACTCTACTGTAGATATATCACAGTGATGCATCTCTCTTCCTGTCTTTATAAACACATCATGGGACAAGTTTAAGTGACAGGGCAACAATAGCAGGAGAAATACTATTATCATGATTCACTATCCTAAATAAATTTAGGTTGGGGAATGGTATCAGGAGCCAATTACTGTGACCAGAAAATATCTTCCCATAGCACCAATGAAGAGTAAAAAATTAGGTTAAGAAATTGACTTACTTACGAAAAGAATTACATGTTCTAATCACTAAGTCAATTGGTGAATGAATGCATATCTCAGGAAATCAGAAGTCTGCTAATTTTCACACAAAATAGATTATAGATTTGTTAATGAGTACCAGGGGATATCACTGGGGAGTTTTGGGTAAGACTTTGTCAAGGTAGCTAATGCAGGAACATTCCAGTTGGGGTTTTTGTCTCATTTTTATCCCTTCTTTTTAAACATTGTTGTATAATTATTCTAAACACTCAAGAGTCATTCCAAACTTACAGACTGCTACCGATAGCTCAGTTGTAGGATTTTATGAGATATCTGTCCCAAGTCCTTGTGCCAAAACTGCAGTGCAAATATAGTTCAAATCTTGATGAATTATTTGAAAATATTTGCTACTTTCATAAGTGATGCAGGAGTGTTGACTTTTGGTGCTTTGTGGCTCACATAAGCATACGTATTATATATTTTGATAATTCTTAGTGCTTGTGGCAAGATTATACCTTGTTTTGGTGGTATCCATGAGCTTGGTTGGAATGTCTGTGATGTTGATTGAAATTTTTGACAGCAGCTTAGGGAGAATAAAGATTTTGGCTCCTAGTAGAAGCATGAAAAAAGACAATTTGGCTATAAGAATATTTGACAATACAGTAACTTGCAAATGCTGTGTTATTTGCTTATTTGACTTTAACAGAAAGAGAAACTGCAGTTACATCTTCAGAAAAGGTCAGTCTTGCTCTTCTCTCCACCTGCAACCACACACTTGTGCCTCCAGCCTTGCATGACCATGGCTGTGTACGAGACTGTGTGGTGGGACAGGTCAGGGAGCTGATCCTTTTTTCTCTGCAATGCACCAGTGCTTGTGTGATTCTGGCACTCCCAAAAAGCAGAAGAACTGAAGCTGCTGGGAAATTGTTGCCCCGGGGCTGGAGTGGTTCTGAGGCTTGTCCTTCAAATTCTAGAAGAAATACACATATCTGGGTCATACAAAACAGTTCTGGTGATATTGTTCAGTGTGCTTTGTAGTTTGTAACTCTTGTTCTGTTGAGTAACTTGTTTAATCTGTGTAACTCCCAACCCTCTACTGCCCGAGTGTTTTATTTGTTGTTGATATGTTACAAAGGTTGATGAGCAAGTAACCCAGTAGTCAAAGTATAATGTCTGTAATGATTATCCTTCTTATGTTCAGTAATAAATGCAGTTAATGTTTATTAATCAAAAATCCATCACTCGGTTTTATTGGTTTCTTCAGAAGAGTGGTGATAATGGTCTTGAGGCATAATAGCAAATGTGGAATGTTTTCAACTTCTGGTCTTACCACAAATTGGTGATTCTTCTACTGATATGGAATGGGCTTTTGATAAGTCCTTTTTAAAATGAATGGATTCTGCAGCAAGATCAGTCCTGAAATTACAGTCATACTGGATATATCTCTGGTCAATCTGCTTGTGTTTTTGCTCTTGTGCCAGCTCTGGTGTTCTGAACTATTTTTCTTTTTACTACCATAAAACTACTTTTTTTGAGATTAATGATGCCTGATGCAATGTTAATAAAAGATCAAGGAATATTTCAGTCTTTTAAAGGCCTCACCTTTTCAGCATCTGGCATCTTTAAAAATACATAAAATAGCACAAATTACCCAACAACCAGTGTAAACAGTTACAAAACAGTAAGTATTTGAAGATGCTGTCACCTGTTAGCAAACACACGGCCAAAACAGTATCCTCAAATGACCAAGCCCAAGCTCTGAAAGGCGGCTGTTAAAAGCACACTGAAAATGTGAGGCCATCCTTCTGAAAACACCACGAGTCTTGAAGATCTCTTTTCAGGATGTGGTCCATACATTTGTGTCAGATGACTTCACAGATGTGAGAGCTACAGGGTAGGACTGATGTTGCCTTTGAGGCTTAGCAGTGCCAGGTTCCCATTCCTTGCTGCGGTCTAGAAATCCGCGTGTACTCGGTTCTGTACCTCAGCTCATGCTCGCTAACATGTTAAACAACCATAACCTGGTTGTGTGTTCAAATCTGATCATTCGCTGGGCTCGGCTGTAAGTGACTGTAATCTGAGGAAACCTGCCAAATTTAGAAGAACCACTTACAGGGGTCCCTGGAACGGAACAGGACAATTGTAGCTCTAACATTGGCCACAAGAGAGCAAGCCGGAACTGTGCTGGCTGCTCAGAGACAGTCTGAGAAACGATGGAGCCAGGGATATAACACAGGTGGATGAGGTCTCTGGAAGGGGAGAGCACAGTTAAAGGTTATTTGAATTTGTTTAGGTTTTTGCCTGTTTTGGAACGTTTTCAGTTCTGATCCTGGGTTGTTTTGTATCCAGACGTTGTTACATCAGAATCCATGTGAGTAGATTCTGAGATGTAACATCAATCTCTGTTAATTTCTCAGCTGAACCTATATTTTAATAATTTGCTAAGTCATACTGGTCTAAGAAAACTCGAATTATTGAAATTAGTTGGGTTTACTTTATGGTAATCCTTCTGCTAATTTGTCTGAGACATGAGGATTTGGAGGGGGTTAGGTTAATTTACGCAGCCAGGGATTTGTATCTGTGTACTGGAATCTGGGTAAAGTTGTGGTTTGTTTTCTTAGGTTAAGTATCTAATTTTCAATTGCACAAGAAACCTTGCAAACCCTATAATCATTCTACTTTAAAAGTCCTGTCACTGCAAGTAAAACAAGAAGTCTGAGCACTTTTAGGAGCTTGAAGTACAATCATTTTTTTCGGCATTTAGTTCTGATACACTATTACAACAATCTGAGAACTCCTTCGCACAAAACTTCTGCATAGGTCACACGCATAAAATTCTTAATTTTCTAATTTAAAGCAGAATTTCATCACTTTCACCTGGACGATCTTAAGGCTGTTGTCAAAATAACTGAGAACTATCATCAGTCTCTCATAAGTTTTTACCATCTGATTGCATTCCTTAAAGCTTCTAAAAGTGCTGAACCAAGCAGCTTGTCTGTAAAATGCTCCCATCAGTCTTTCATCTGATGATGACAAAAGGATTTAAAAACAGACTTTTCCAAGTCCACTCTGTGTTCTTCAGTGTAAATCCGAAGTAACTCTAATGAATACAGGAGCCTTTCTCCAGGTCTTACGTTGCAGTAGATGAGAAGAGTTTGACCTTTAATTTTCATAATTTTTCCTCCCTTAGTGCAGAACAACTTGTGCACTTTGTTAGAATGTAAAAGAGCGTTAAGTTCACGTCAGTGGTAGTTTCACTTAGAAGGGTAGAACTAAAAGATTTGGGGGTTTATCTCTTGTTTATGAACTCCCTTTTGCTATAGAGACTTTATAACCTGGCAGGGCAGTCCCTCACAGGCTTTTGAACCCATGCACACATTTACTGTAGTAACAGTCTAGTTCAAATATGGGATCAGATTTCTAGATACATATTTTGGGCAGTGAATGTTCAGAGATCTTAAAAAAATCAAGTGTTCTGTCTTACAACAATGAACATTTTGTTTGCAGTATGAAGATGGAAACCTGGTGCCTGGATGCTGAAAGCTCTTCTGTTGATGCCACCAAAGAGCGAGAGTATGAGAGGCTTAGAACTGCTCAGAGACACTGGATGGACTGATGCCTCCTTTGCATTACTTTGGATTGGGCATCTTGATACAAATCAAATCGGTGCTAGGGAGAAAAGGAAAAGAGAATGGCACCAAAAACACTCTGAGTGAAGATCAGCCTGCCCAGAAAGTCTTCTTTTTGGAAGCTGAGCTAGGAAGCCTGGAGAAGACTAGAGATAATTATGTGCTTGCTTCTCTTTCCTGTTGGGAGTGCCTCCCTGACAGTAAGTATTGTGTTTAATACTGTGTACAACTGATATTTTCTTGAAGATAAAGCACAGAGGTTAGGTTGCTTTGAAGGAGGAGGCAGGCCAGGGCAGGATGGGCTGAAGGTACAGAAGTAGCAGCCTGTTGT